TTCTTACATACACACAAACACAAACACATACACACGCTCGTATGTCTATGTTTATCTTGAAAACGAATAAATCGTTCGATAAATATAACAGTCGATAAAAAATACTTAAATAAGTAAAAAAATAAATAAATAAAGAAAGAAAGAATTAAAAAACAGAAGAGGAATGGAGAAAAAAATTCAAAACCCGAGTAAGGTTTATTTATATTATAATCGTAGGTTCGCAATGTGGAACGATTTATCTCGCGGCTTCCTAGCAGATTTCAATTTAGATCCATTAAAATGTAAATTAGCGAGGGTATTTGTTCAGACGGTAGGAACGGAGGTGTGCTTTCTTCGTAGCTCTTCCTGTTGACTCGACTCTTCCCAACGACCAAACCTACTAGATGTTGGAGAACTAACGAGAATAGGGAAAGGAAAAGGGGATAGTTTACCCCCCCTCTTTTGTAGTAGATCTGACCTACGAACGAATTGTTAAGGGTTGCAGTTACCATGGCACCCACTCAATTGCGGTCTCAACTACCTTTAAATGTGTCTGTCGTCCTTTAAAAGGACGAACCGACGACGAAAGGATTTACTCTAATCCTGATTTGGATTTCCTATCGATTTGGATATATTTCGAACTACCACTATGATGTTTGTTCGAACAAGAAAATAATAGGGGGATAAATAAATTAATTGATTTTTCTATTGGTGAAGTAAAACTTCACACGACAATTTTTTTTTGCTTTTCTTTTTGTATTTTTTTCTTTTTTTTCTATTTTTTACTATTTAATCGAAAGTTCTGTTAATTTATTTCGATTAATATTGCTATCTATGAGAAAGAGAGAGAGAGAGAGAGAAATTGAGAAAGAGATAATCGAATTTTCGTCAAATAATAAGACGAGCTTAATCGTAATCGTTCTTGAAAAAACTTGACGAGAAATGAAAGGAAATCCGGAATTCAATGAAATGGATTTCGATCAAGATTATGAATGGTGTTATCTTTCAACAGAATGGTCGTAGTAACAACTTATCTCTCTCTCTCTCTTTCTTCCGCTCTATCTCTTTTCATTATTACAGAGTATAATTCAACTTAAAAACTTTCTTGTAAAAAAAGAGAACTCGAACTACTACTACTACTTCTTCTTCTTCTTCTTCTTCTTCTTCTACATTCCATTAAAATCATAATCTAAATTCAATTAACAGACTGTTATTATTATTGATTATATAAAAAAAAATTTTACGTTATTCGCATATATTATAATACTAATGTGCACACTAATGTACAAAACATAAGATACTTGCACACACAAATAATATACATATATATATTATAATACGGTATTTCGTTATAAACTTAGATGAAACTTATGTTAATGAAACTTACATTAGTGTTAGGAGGGACTTGACAGGATTTAATCACAAGACATGTTTGAAATTTAGCAGAGGCAACGTATTATCGGGGAAAACGGTGCCGGTCATTATGGCTGTTATGCTTGTTACGGTTACGACGATTGTTATCATCGTTATGGCTTTCACCGCCATTAAGGTTCTTATTATACCGCGTCTATCAGACCACGTAATAGCTGCGAGAGTCCAGATACAGGACTTCCCTTCGTTCTAGTTGTGGCTGTTTAATATCGTCAATGTTAGGTATATACAAGGACGATGCTTTTTCATACACGGATTCACACGTTATTTTGTCATATTTCAAACGATCATTATCATACACGAGTATCTTGCTAAATCGTTCGTTTCTCTCTTAAAATGTGTAGTCCTGTCATTTCATTTGAAAGTATAATAAAGATTCGATTATAATCGTAATGCATTTCTAATCCGTGTTACGAGTGACATTAATTATTATAATTATACGAAAGTGAATAAGAAATTATTCGATATGGGTATTAAAAATTTTAATGGAAAAAAAAAATAATTGATACACACATTACGTAGGATTTATAATAGATCTATAAATTTGTTTCATATTTTTTTTATCGATCATATATATATATAACACAAGCGTAAAACGAAAAATAAATTTTGTTTTATAATTAAATCGTTTAATTTAATATACAATATTTTGAGTGTACAAAAAATTGATCTATATTTGTTTTTATTATATTATTTATTGATCGTATAGATCGTGTAAGTATATAACGAAATACATTTTCGTAATTTTCAATTGTAAAATTAAATTAAATAAATAATTTCCTGAGAGAAGGTAAAAATTATTCGAAACAAATATCGATCTATATTTTTGTCATACTTTTTGTAGATCATATAGATCATGACTTGTTGTTAAGGCAAATAAAAATGATTTTTTATCCTTTTTTTTTAATTGTAGAATTAAATAAAAAATGTTGCGGATAGTAAAATTATTAATATATTTTTATATATATAGATAAAAAATAAAAGTGACGATTAGAAATCGATTGGATTCATGTCGTCTAATCTGAATTTTCCTTTCTCTTCACTTTTATCGATCGCATCGATATCGAGAGCGTCTCGAGTGTCGTCGAGGGAGAAACCAAGCTGCGATTGGCCTACTTTTGTTGGTAATCGACGAGAAAAATCGTAAGTCTCCTCGTAAGGCGGAAGTTACGAACTATTCTTGCCCTCGGAAATATCTCGTGGTATTAAACATAAAAAATATTAAAAAAATCCGTTTATATAAAATGAAAATAAAAAAAAAAACAAAAACAAAGTTTCGCGTCTCCTATTTGAGAATTAGTTTGAACGAATAAAATATAGAAAAAAGATTGAAGTTCTTCTAACGATTGCTAAAAAAAAAGAAATGAAGAAGAAGAAGAAGAAGAAAAATTCCTGATTCGACGTCACGCTTGATATTGCTTCGTCTTTTATTACAAGAAGGAACCAATGTTAAAAACGACAAAGAAAAGAAAAAAGGAAAAGATAAGGAAAGATAAAGATTCGAGACAGTTGGAATGATCGATTACCGATCGATCGTCTTTTGGAAACTTATCGAACAGGTGTTGTCGGACACAAAGGATAATAAATGGCTTCCTCATTCGTTCATATCATTTTTTCTGATATATTCGAAAAGATTTATGCATCTTTATACATATATTGTACTTATGAATGAACAGAAATGTGAACGACGCGAGTTAACATATTATATTATCTTTGATCATTATCATTAAATTCGATTAGAAAAGAAATTTTACTACTTTTTTTAACAAAACGTTTCCTTCATTAATTTTCAACATTTGTTTTCTATTATTTCTTTTCCCCCTTTCTCTTTCTTTCCATCAATTTTGATGACTTTGAAGCTGGCAATTAACTCGAAACGCACGTAGTATCGCTAGAACTTTTTTCATGTCTTTCTTTACTTTTCTTACTTTCTCTCTCTCTCTCTCTCTCTCTCTCTCTCTATTCTCTCATTTTTTTCTTTCTTTCTTCTCTCTTCTCTTCTCTCTTTCTCATAGGAACACGAAACGAGTCACTGATCGATTTGCTATCGGCGAACAAACGGAGTTCGTTAAGTTTAACGTGTACGATCGGTACCATTATTTTCGAGAAGGGTTTATGTCGACTCACGGATTGTATTAAAAAAAAAAAAGAAGAGAAAAAAGACAGAAGAAGAAAAAAAAAAAAGAATAAAAAACGTTGCCCGTGTGACGATCAACTGGAATGGTGGAAAATGGAAAAAAGAAAAATCAAAAAACACAGCAAGGAAGAAATTAAAAAATCTATCAATCACGAGTCGCGAACGTTTTAACAAGTCATTTAACGGATTAAAACTAACTGCAGCAGTTCAGTTCATCGATTAGATTATTAACTGCAATCAAGACGAACTTTAATTAAAAAACCTTCAACAATTTTTTTCTTTTTTTTTTTTTATAAGTTTTGAAGCCAAAGTTTTAATTAAAAAAAAATTCTTGTTTATTTTTTTATTTATACTCGATCAAATTTTCTATTTTGTTAAAAAGAAAGAAAAAAAAAATACACTCCAATCGATTTTTACTTAATTATTATATTGGCCTTACGTATCGCGAACGTATATTGACGAAATATAAAATAACTCGTAGATTAAAGTCAACGATAGCAAGAAATAGAGAAAGAGAGAGGGAGAGAGAGAGAGAGAGAGAGAAGGAAAACGAGCGAGTTTATTTCAACGTCAAAGTAACGAGCGATTCGTTGGTAAATCTGTCGGTCGTTTCCGTGCTCGACTTTGAAACGAGAATGTAATTATACTTCACCGAGAGTCATTATTCTACGTTAAATCCTAGATTTTACACTACCACTGAGTAAAGTTTGATCGGCCATATCGTTGCCAACTTTTCATAATCCGTTCAATATGCGAGTACTTTGGAAATGAGGCTTTCACAGTGGTCTCTCGAGTAAATCCACGAAATTGAGATCTTAGCTTTGCGTTCTATGCACGAGGAAAACTTTATAAAGGGAAGGGATGGATTAACCTCTTTGAATTTAAAAAAAAAAATGACAAATGATCGATAATATTCGAAAATGGCATTATTGAACCTTTAATTTTACATATCTTTTCTTATATTTCTTTTTTTTTTTTTTTTATTAAATGAAAACTAATTTTAATCATTACATTAACACTTTTCCTGCCACATGTATCGTTTTAAATACATGTAACGTTTTAATGTCACTTATGTTAATCAAATGCAGTTCGGCAAAAAACGTGCCAAGGTTCATATTTATAATTTTTGTTAATTCTATCAAAAGATACGTTTACATTACAAATAACAATATTCTTATTAGATAATGATACTCTGATATATAATATTTATATTAATAGATATTATGTGTGTGTTAATAATACTAACAGATAGATAAGTAGATTTTTGTTCATAATGCAGCTTAAACATATATGTGATTACCGCATCAGTTATTAACACATGAATATATATATATATAGAGAGAGAGAGAGAGACAGACAGAGAGAGTTATTACTAATAATAATAATAATTATTATAGGTTGTGAACGTTAATGAAATTAAATAAATCAATGAAAATTTCATTTAAACCCACAGGATCTCCATAGCGTCGACCTAGAAGAATTTAAACACGGCGGGACCAATATCACTGCTTTTCGTCTGGTTGATCCAGAGAAACCTGAGATTCAACGAGTTGTGCAAGACTGGATTTATGGTGAGAAGCGTTATAATCGTGAACTCGACATGGGCCAGACTTCTAACAAGGTGAGAAAGCCTCTGTTAATTACCATTTTTCAAAATTCTAATTTATTCTACTATACATCTTCCTAAATCCTTTTCAAACTTTCAACAGAAAATCGGACTTACGTTAGCGAATTCGAAATTCGTAAACGTGAGCATTGATTTAATCGTATTTCTTCTACCGTATGACTAATAGGTTAGTCTGGCTTCAATATTGAACCGTTTGAGATTCATTAATTCGACTAATTCGAGCGTAAAACTAATTGACTAACCATTATTCAATAATTATTCATTTTTCCAACGTTTTATTTTCGAGTTACACAAAATGTATACAGTTAATAGAACATTTTTAAAAATAAATTCGAACAAATTAACGAAACTACGAAAATAATATTCACTATCAAATAACTTCACTTTTTTTTCCTTCAATAATTCAATTAGCGTTAAACGTACCAATACTTTACGTATATCTATTTCTACCACAACTAGTTCAAAAAATCATTTATTCAATAAGAATTATTGACCCTCCAAATAGTACTGTAATTCGTAAAAAGTATTGTCAAAGATTTTACGATCAGTCATGATACGTTTAGTATTAATACGAAATGATACGATAAACAAATTAATCTCTCGAATTAAAATGAATTTCTTGTTCTCAATTGTTAATAAATATTAAAAGAATCACGTCTATATATATATATATATATATATATACGATTAACGATATAATTCATTGAGTGAAAATTTATAACGCAGATGTGAGATTTAAATTAAGAACGAGATAGAAAATGGATTGGGAGGAAATCTGTATGAGTAGAGGAAAAATCTCTTTAGGAAGATATCGTCGATCGTAGTGAAATGCAACTGAGGGAGGTCACAATAATTGGACGTAGACGATTGAAAAGTTCACGAGAAAAATTGAATTTTGTATATCGATAGAAAGAAACAGAAAGACAGATAGACAGGTAGACGAACTGAGAAATACTACGAGAGAGAGAGAGAGAGAGAGAGAGAGATCGAAAGAAATTGAAAGAGATGGGAAGAGTAGAAAAAGAGGAAAAGGATGCTACTCATAAGAATGCAAATACCGTGTGGAAGGTAAAGCTGGTGCTGATAGTGGTGCAATTGCAACGAGGCTGGTAGTGGTGGTGGTGGCGGTACACGCCTTTTGGGCTAGTAACCTTGTCGTGCATGTACAAAGCCCATTGGAGAAGGGCTAGATCGAGCGAACTATTTGCCCAGAACTCAAGTGCACAAGGGAAACATAGATGCTAACGTCTCTAATTAAACAGGAATAGCTAGCACAGTGTAGAGTCTCTCTTGCTATGTATGTTACCTAACCCTCGAACTATATGGACGAAAACGTATGAGAGCTCTACTCCATATGCGTACCTTTAATCGTGTCTCTTCTCCCATATTCGAGCGATACAATCTCTTGAAACTGCCGAGAGGAACGTTGGAAGGAACGTAGAAAGGAAGGAAGAAAGGTAGGAAGGAAGAAACAAAAGTTATATCTACTATTACACGAACCTGATCTAATTTCTTGATATTAACGTGTTTTATCCTTTACGATATGACTACTTAAACATTTTACATTTTAATTAAATAATATTATTCGTGTTGATTTCATTAAATAAATGTATTTATTATATAAATTCCATCTCTGAAAAAAAAAAACAGGCAACACCTAGTACTCGATACGCGAAATCTTAAGAAGTAAGATAGAATTTTTATTTTTTTCGAATTTTAGAGACACTTTATACCAAGCCATGCAGCACTCGGCAACGGTGATTATCGAGAAATGTATGTAGGGAAGACTGTTTTCAGGCGCAATATAGAACACAGAGGGATATTCAAGTTGAATCGAATAATCGCGAGAAGGGGAAAGTGGAAAAATAAAACGAGGATTTCTAGTTTCTGTAAAGATAGAAAGACAGAAAGAGAGAGAGAGAGAGAGAGAGAGAGAGATAGATAGAGAGAGAGAGAAAGAGAGAGAGAGAGACTATATTTATCATCGTCAAAGATCCATATCCAAGATCATTGTGGAGAAATCTTCTTTGCTGGGAACTTGATCGTTTCGAAATGATTTTGTCAGAATGGAAGGAAGTTGACGGGCGTGTTCGGTAGAGAGAATCGGTTTACAAGATAGAACGAGCTCGTCATCTGTCTCACCTTGGAAATAATCTTGATGGATGAAGGAAGAAGATGGAAAAGGTGAAAGGAAAGAGAGAGAAGAAGGAAATGGGGGAAGAGTGGGAAAGGGAGGGCAGGGAGTAAAGGAGTTCACACTCGGAGGTTCGTCGAATCGAGAGCGATTAGTCATTTGCTCGCAATTAGCGACTATCGTTGGAGATAGTCATTGCCAAGCCGTAATAAATCGTTCGTTTGGTCTAACGAACACACGATCTGTCTTCGAAAGTGCGACTAGGCTATATACTCCGTCACGTTTAGAGATCAGATCCGAATGAATTCCAGGACAATGACGCGAAGACGATAAATCTACCCCTCTCGCGAATCCTGCCAGTTTGCGAACGGATTCCTACTCGATCTTCCTCTACGTTAGTACTATCTATGTAGATATATCTATGTATTATATAGACATATAAATCACGTTTGATTCTGGATCATTCCTATCGTTCGGGAGTAGATCCGATTCGATGGAAATGGAAGTTAAAAAATCTGGATTTTGGTGCTACCTACTACCATTGTGGTAAGAAAATAGAATCTAAGGAACATCAATTTTTTTGTCAGGATCGTAAGGATTTTTGTTTCAACATTTTTTTTAAATGGAATGTGATTGCGTTAGAATGATATTAACGTATGTGACATGTTAAATGATATAATTTTGGAATTTAGTATTCATTTAGTATTGTACGTAATCAATGCACGCTATGCAAGTTGAGTATTGCAACAGAATAATTTTTAAAAATATTGATTTTAATTAAGAATATAAAGGATATTTAACAGAGACAATTGGAATATGATAAACGAAGTTAATTAGTATTGACACATGATAAGTTTAGAATTTAATATTAATTTTCTATTGGATATATTCAATGCAGTTTATGCAAATTTAGTATTGTAACAGAATAATCCAAAAGATTTTAATTAAGGTTATGAAGGATATTAAAAATAGAATTAGAATGTATTTAAGCAATTCTAATAATATTGACGTACATAACACACGTGACTTTAGAATTTAGTATTAATTTTATATTAGACATAATGAATGCACATAATGAAAGCTGAATATTGCAATAGAATAATCCATATAGATCCGAACGGTTTGATCGATTAAATGAGTCATATCTCTATTACAAAGCTCATACGTATATATCTATAGAATAACATATAACCATGTATATCAGTATACTAACGTTCCCATATAAACCATCAATGATCCTATTCATCGCGATAGAATAGCGTTCGTAAGCTTTCCTGTTTCCGTGTGTATCTATAGATTTGTGTATGTACGTGTAAGTGTGTATCATTAAAACTCGATAAGAGATCGTCATCGTGGATGATCGCATCTTTTTGAATTCTACAGTTTGACAGCATTCGAATTAGGAGATATTGAAAGCTTAGGGATGACAAGTGGGTAATCAATTATATAATCGATTGTATCGACCGATATCGAAGTGACAGTCGAGAATTGTTAACATTTCTGAAAAAAAAAACAAAAAGCAGTATTTATACTTTTCGCGTTCGAATATTTAATTTGAAAAAGAATTATTAAAAATATTAAAGCTCGATGTTTCAAAGAAAACAAAAAAAAAAAACAAAAACAAAAGAGGAAGAGAAAATGTCTACAGCTTTTATTAAACTAATGCTATTGAATTTCCGTGTTAATGTATATTCACTTAATTATTTCTACTTATTATTAAAATTCGAGTATTGAAGCTTAAATATTAATTATAAATAAATTGATGATCATTAGAGAGTTAATCTAGTCTCTCTTTATCTCTCTCTCTCAAAAAAAAAGAAAAAAATAAATAAAGAAAAAAAAGAAAGAAGATATATAAATTGAAAACTCTTTGGTAGAGGAGTAGTCCCATTGGGAAATGTTAATTGGTAAGTGTAATGAACGAATCTCGTCCCTTAAATGAGTTAACGAAACAAACTCGAGGATACTCCAGTAACATCCGAGGAACGGGAGGAAAGCTAAACAACTCGAGCGTGCAATTAGCGGCGGCCTCGAAGCTGCTACCTTCTCGTTCGATGGCCCACCGAGGAAACAGATTGTGCATCGTCGTATCGTGCATCTGCCACTACGTACTAGAAACAGAAAGAGAGAGAGGGAGGGAGAGAGAAATACGGAAAAGTTGAGAAAAGCGATAGCCAACGTTTAACCCGTTTTCATAGCGACCTATCCCACCCCAGTCAACATCTGCCACCGGTAGCAACACTTTTTCTCCTCCTTAAAAGCTACCGAATTGGAAGGGTTCCTAGCCAAGGCAAAGGCCAATAGCACGCGTTTCTAACAACTTACCCGGATAACTTTTTGCCGACGTTGCGTGATAGGTCGTTATGACGGTGGTGAAATGGAGAGAGAGAGAGAGGGAAGCTTTCAAACCAGCTTTTCAAAACGAACCAACCCGTCTGACACGTGCGACATTCGGACGACTATCTTGCACGTTGCTTTTAGCTGACGATGTCATATAAATTATACCATACGAATATCGTCGTTGTATCAGGATGATATTTCGATATATTTCTTATTTTTCTTTTTAATAATTTTCAAATATTTAACATCTTCAATTATCATTAACATTAATATCGATTAATTAGATTTATCGTCAAATTATAAGAATAAATGTATCACGTTTATTATACTTTAATGAATAAATACGTATTATATAAATTATGATAATTAAATATGATACGCATGATTACGCGAAGAAATATTTCATTTTTTTTTTATACATTAGTTAATAATCATATATTATATTAATCATGATAGCAATCATCATATCTACTTTAATGTTAGAAATCAGAGAAACCGCATTTCTTGCAGACCTATTCCCAGTAGATCTCTATTAAGGTATGATAGGGACATTTTGCCCTTTTTTCTTCCTTCTTTCTCCCCTTTATCCCTTTTTTTCTTTTCTTTACCTTCCTTTCGTTCCTTGCTTTCCAACGAAAGCCACGTTTGCTCGTTTGATCTCTGACCTATTCATAACGCGATGAAAACGACTGTGCTTATTGAGGGGTAGGAGATCAAGGTACCTTTTCATATATATATATATGTGTGTGTATTTATATATATAATGCTGCTAGTATATGTGCGTGTACGCGAGTGTGTGTGTAAACGTAAGCTTTGAGATTTTTAGTGATCATGATTTAAAGTTTCTTTCAAATTTACCTTTCGACAACAAAATTTAACTTATTTCAATTAGGATCCTTGATATTTTCAAAATGAATGAACTTCAATAATTTTTTCTCTATTAATTAGTATAAACAAATGTTTAAAATAAAGGTTCACGTATATATTAAGTAAAATATTGATTACAATAATATGGTAAAATTTCATTTGACAGTTTGCATTGGACAGTTGCATTCTACAATAGTGTGTAATTTGTAATTTAAAGCATTTTGTTTTTTTAAAAGATCAAAAAGGATTCGCGATTCTCGATGAAATTGTTGAAAAATAAAAGGACTCGATAGATGTCCAAAGTGAGAACGAATTTATTCTTGATAACGTATTGACATCTTGATTAAAACATATCTCGTTTTACTTTGGTAGATCAGAGAAATTGTAGCTCGATGGTGTGAATAGAACTTATTGCGAACAAACTCGTGGGTGGTAAAAGTTATGGGTTACTTCCGATAGAAACGAGAGAAGTATAGAACCACCGAACCATCTATCTTTTGGTAAAAGATAAACGTGGATGAAGGCGTTGAACCGATCTCTCTGTCTGCGCTCTGAACAGTGAAAATTGCACTTTCTATTAAAATCTTTTATCATATTATTTTCCAGTTTCTTCTCTCATTTTTTTTTTCTAAATCGACAACTTTTTATTCAATACAAAAAAAACATCTTTTCCTTTTATTATTCTTTTATTGCAGAAAAATTTCTTTTTGTTTTCGTGTAATAAAATTTGGATTTATCTGGAAGAAAAAAAAATATATATATGATATAAATTTGTCAATATAATTAGAAAAATTCTATTTTCAATTATATAAAATATTTTCGATAAAATCAAAGTTCTTCTTAATCTTCGTTTCGTTGACAGATAAATTTGAAAAGGTGAATCTCACAACAAAAACAAAATCAACTTACAAATCACGATAAATACGTGCTAAATTTTCTTTTAAAATTATCTAAAACAGATATTGTTAAGGAAACATTTTGACATAATAAATTTTGTATTTCACATGCTTCCTCTCTCTCTCTCTCTCTACCTCTTACAATTATTATATTCTATATAGTATATATATAAAGATATATATGTCGCAGAGGATATCAGGAAAATCGTCTCGAATCACTTGGCATCGGTTCAGATCAATATCGGAGACGATCGAACACCATGCGATAATATTTCTCGAACATGGCGCGTCCACGGAAGCACGCGGTACAACGCATCGTGGAATTTATAAGATTATTACGAGAGGATAAAGCATTGCCGTAGAAGTTATGCGCGTACCATATGCGAGAGGGTCTATGGTGAAATAAATCTCAGTTCCTACTTCCTTCATGGCCAACGAGATAATCGATAAAACCAACTTAACGTTGCTACGTAATTTCAATCGATTCGCATAAAAAAACTAAGATTTCATTAAAAAAAAAAAAAATTATTGAAAATAATTTACACAATTTTTATTCGTCTAATAAAATTCAATAAAAAATATTTTCTACGTTGAATAAAATCATATTAAATTTGATTATTTAAAATACCCTGTACTCATTAATTATTTTTAATTAATATAATATAATTTTATATTGAATAATATTCATACCCCGTGTGAGTGATATTTTAAATTAATTTAAACGAAATCTACACCCAAATTTTACATAATAGTGACAATGAAATGTTCTTCTTAATTTTATTTCAAAAATCTGATTATCAGAGAAGTCATCTATTAAAATTGTTAAATTTTAAATCAAAGGATATTCATTTATATTGAAAATCGTATTTATTAAATGATTGAAATGGTAATGCTTTTTAGCTTATTGTATCATACAGATAATACAATTTCATATAATTTTACAAAGCTAATTATCGATTACTCGAAAGTCACGTGTTTCTCTTATCATAAAATAATGCATACTATCGAGGCTCTTATTATACCATGTTTTATTATAATAAATTAACGTTAATAACGATGATCTTTTTTTGGATTTAGATGAACACTTATTTGACGTTCAATTAATTCGAGTGCTTTTCATCTTGAAAGTCTTTAACGTTCCATTTTAGATAAATTAAATGATCGTTCATAATTTTACATTAACCGAAAGATTAATTAAAATGAGATATGAGTTACTCTTAATTTATCCTTTTTTTTTTTAAATCAAATTCGTTCTTTTTTTTACAAATCAATGTGATTTGGAGTACGAAAGTTTTATCCTATTTATTATCTATCATTTTTACAAACAATTATTTTAAAATTGATTAACGATGGAGTTTACGTGTTTAGTGACATAATTGTCAAATAGATAGAAAATAAAGGAAATAGAAATAGAACGAGAAAGAGAGATATATATATATATATATAGTAGACAGAGCAAAACTAATTATCTCGATCACATCGTACGAATCACCGATATATTGATTCAATTACGGATGGGAGTTGAGATGAGTCGTTGTTATCGACAGGCTGGAAATATAACCGGGGAAAAAATTTTTCGTTACATCGTTTCGTAAGAGGAACACTCACTTCGGAATGTCCAACATGCTTTTTAATTTTTATTCCGATTCTCGTTGGAAATAATTCGACAACGTGTCAATTTCAACGAACTTTATTATCCAATTTTCCGTCAAACTAATCCCGAAGTCATTTTTTCCTTTTTTTTTTTTTCCAATCATTAATATCTTCGTAATCGTAAAATTTTTTAATTCAATAAGCTTCCTTAACAATTGCAACGACAATTTTAATACAAATTTTATTAAACCGAGAAAATGAACAAAATTCTTGGAACTTTGACTTCTTAAAATTAAATCACTTGTAATTGTATTTAATACTAGGAGTATATTTTTTATTTGACAAAATTCGAATAAATATTTTCTATTGAATATTTTTTCTTCTTGAATTTGATATTATAAAAGATTGTACAATATATCTTTTCTTTTAATGTCAATTTAATAATTCTATTCTTCTTTTTTTGATTTCATGTACGGCTATTACAGAACAACCAGACTTGCATAAAGGTAAGAAAATATAAACAACATTTCTTTTTCTTTTTCTTTTTCTTCTTCTTCTTCTTCTTCTTTCGATATCCAATAGACCATTGATCATTACGTATAGTGCTTGAATATATGTCTAATTGTTTCATTACCAGTGAATTATTAGAGGTTTGAGCGTGTTCGATTTCGACCATCAAACAAGTCGTCCGTTCAAATAGATAATCATGCGGGCACCAATGTGAATGGATATCGAAAGTGTACGTAGACATTCTCATTACTCGATAACATCAAATTGCACGATACGATGATCGTAGATCTACCTTGTTTCTGAATATGGCTTCTAAACGAACATATTCTAACGATTCTATCTATTTTGTCTAGAAAATAAATCTACATAAAATAATAATGTATAAAAAATCATATTCGTCATTCTCTTAAAAAATGTGTTCATCATTATTTTAACGTTTACAATCAAAACTAATAAGTATATGATTTAAATAATTAGTTTATTTTTTAATTAGAATATTTGTTCTAATGATATATATATATAATAAGAGATTGATTTATAATTATTATTATATTATATTAATTAATTTTCCGACACATATAGTCTAAATTGAAATATATATTAAATTGTGAAACATTATCGCATATGTATAATAACTTGCATCGAAATTGTTGACAATTTAATGAAAAATATTTTATCGATAAAAATACAACTTCGTCGTCCTGAATATATTTCGTGAAAAATAAGCGGATATATTAGGTGAATTTGTTTTGAGAAAAATTTATATAGATCATAACACGAAGTAGATCGTAGTAGCGTGTAAGTTAACGCGTGTTAGTATCCAGTATATCGAGTCAGCTTCGTAAATAGTTCTCATTCTCGTCAACGAGAGCTCGTAAAAGTATGTAAGGATATTGGTTGTCCCGAATGTTTGCTCGTATATACGCCAGCACTGACAATATGTATATATATATATATATATATATATATATATATATATGTACCTACGAAACGATATCGCTTTTTTACAACACCCAGTAACGTATAATGCGAGTTACGAAATATGATGAACCCAAAGTTGGAGACATCAAGCAGCCGTGAAATTCTATCGAAAAAGAAATAACAGATTTATTTGTTATCACATAAATACTTATTATTATTTCATATATATACTTTCATTTATTTCACCAATCAACTCTATCTTCCTATTTCATTTATTTTTATCACCTAATTTAATTCATTTGATTTCGTATTTTTCAGACTGAAACTTCTTTGATGTACGACGCAGTATATCTTTTTGCCAAAGCATTACACGATCTTGATACTTCCCAACAAATCGACATCAAACCACTTTCATGCGAATCCACCGACACCTGGCCACATGGATATTCTTTAATTAATTACATGAAAATCGTAAGTATTTCGATAATATTATACAAAAATATGTTATACTCTCTCATTATCATTCAAATAATCATTCTTGTATTATTTCTGAAGAAAAAAAAATTGTCATACATAAATAAATGAAATTCGGCTTCATTATTTATATGAATAAATATGATATATTTTTCAAATATATCATTTATTTCAAATATTCAATATAGAATACATATAATAACCAAATAAAATTCATTTTCTCTCCGAAATTATGGATATTGATCGTTCGATAGTTTCTCTACAATGTAATAAGCCATTATGTATACATGTACAAGGATATGCCTAATCTGACTCATTAGAGCGTGTGTATGTAGGCAATGTATGCCATGTGCGTGATAACTATAATGTGGGCTTGAGTGTGAACGCAACAAGGATCTATGCACGTATTACCAACCGACCAACCCTTCTCTCTCTTTTTCCCTCCTCTCTCTCTCTCTCCCTCTCTTCCTTTTCACCCTTTATCATACGTCCCTACGCCCTTATTCATTCCCTCTTCCTCTCTCTATCTCCCTCCCCCTCCCTCTCTCTTTCACCTTGTCTCTCTTTCACTGTACAACAGGAACACGAGCGATTGTTCAACGGAACAATGGAAAGTTACTCCCGTTTAAACGAAGCCGTCGTACTCCCTTGACAAATTGTCGCTTGTGGTTTTGCACCGTTGAAACCTGTCCACCGCCTACAACGCTTATATCAGCAACACCAATTCGAAATCTACCGTTGAGTTTGATCTCTATGGTTTCTACATTCCTAGATCCTATGTAGAGGATAATTTCTGCATCTTTAATTCATCGAAATATTCCATTTAATCGATCGTTATATCGTTGTCGTCTATTGAAATATTTTGTGGATCTGATTTTTATATCATTTTCTAATTGAAACAAAAAATGAAGTATTATTGTATCTACGAATGTTACGTTACAATTTTTGACATTAATTTAATCACGTTTTGACGTCAAAATATTGTTGTGTTATGTGATCTTTTTATAAATCAATTGTTTTATATTGGAAAAAGTTACACTACAGGTGTAGTATGCATTATAGGAAGATTATTTAGATATATCTTCTACGTGTTCATATTAACACAAGTAGAATTATTAAACTCTCTCTGGTCGTATTACTTCGAAACGTCCTAGTGGTCAACCGAGTAATATTCACGACTCGACAATTGTAATCAACATGTTCGATAATTAACAACTCACTATCGCGTCTGTCTTTGTTGTGGTTTCTATTGATTACAAAGGTATCCCTAGATGAATTTTCATTAAATCTTACCTTTACATACATGAACATATTCATACACATCTCTCGTATATATCATTGTAATAATATAAAAATAATAATTATTTATTTGCAGGTTGAAATGACTGGTTTAACTGGGATCATCAAGTTTGATCATCAAGGATTCCGTTCGGATTTTATTCTAGATATTATTGAACTTAATAATAAGGATGGTTTGAAGAAGATTGGCACGTGGAATAGCACGAAGGGTATTAACTTTACCAGAAGTTATGGGGACGTATATACACAAATCGTCGAAAATTTACAAAACAAAACTTTCATCGTTACGACCATATTGGTAAGAATTTGTAATATACTTTATTCTTTTTTCCTTTTTTCCTTATTTAAGATATCGAATAAAGATTTTCAATATTAATAGAAACAATCGTGGTACCTTGACACCTCACCTCAGTCAGTGTTATTATTGTTTTATATTTTAGATTAAATTTTTATACACGGTATATACTATAATAATAATTGATACCGAGTTCATTTCGTATATTACTTATATTAATTATACGTAGGACGTAATTAAATTCTTGAAAAAATACTGGAAAGTTGAAGTTAGAAATTTTTTGAATGAAAAATAGTTGCACGTAATTAATATAAATATAAATTTTACTTTAATAATAGAGAAAGCAATTAATCCAAAGTAAACTCACTCTCTCTCTCTCTCCCTCTCTCTCGGTGTTCTTTCTTTTACGCGTTCTCTCGTTTAATTTGTTTTTTTGGAACTGGTAGAAAATGAAAGATTGAGCAAAGAGGGTATAGTAGAAGAAGGAGGTGGGTGAGGAGTAGGAGGTCGACTTAATTGAAGTTTTCACGAAGCTCTCTAGGTGCATTACTTATTCTCGCGCTAATTGCGGCGACACATAATGTACTCGCTAATGTATTAACCGAGGAGAGTAGAAACTCTCGACGAAATACGGCAAGTTACCACCGCGATAGTGCAAAGCTGCGAAGTTTAGTGAGAAAATGCCCTTAGGCTTTCCACTAAACTCGATACTTTCGTCTTGCAATACCAAGTATGTGCGTATGTGTGTGCGCGAACGCACATGGGTAATAAAATCTCAAAAAATTCATTTTTCAACATTTGCCGGATATTAAATGTTGACCAAAGTAATTAAATAAAATATTTTTTCAAAGAAAAAGAAAAAAAGTAAAGAACAATAAGAAGAAGAAAATTGGAAACATTTCAACAGATTATTATTTTTCATCAGAACTATCTGACACTTTGTTATTTGTTTTTTTTTTTTCCTTTTTTCTTTTTACCTATCGTTGGAATTTGTTTAAGTTAATTAAAAACTCGATCGAACTTACTAGAAGAGATAAAAACTGGAATGCGATTTTCTTGCGAACGAAATAAAGTTTAGAAGCCTTCCTCGTTGTCGGTTGCAAGCTTTTTACTTTTTTTCCTTTACTTTTTATTTTTCTCTTTGTCTCGCGTAATAGACATACAGATGTTACGTTATATGTTTTTCTTTTTCTCTCTCTCTCTCTCTCTCTTTCTCTTTCGAAGACGTATAACATGGTTGCGTTAGCGAGCACATAAACTACACGATGACTCGGTTTAACTACATTCCAACGTTTCGTCTTTCAAAGCACGCAACAGTAACCGAGTAAAACTGCGAAACGAATTCCTTGGATATTTTATGAAACACTCGCTATATATATATATTGAGACGCGTACAAGGGTGGGTCCATATAATAATGTGTTTCGAATTATGTTTCATTCATGTGTTCTTGTCAAATTTTCGTTTTATTTGTATCCTCTTTTTTTTTTATGTCCGAATTTTATGTTGGAAAAAAAGAACAGATAACTAAATTCATCGTTGATATACGATAGTAAGTAATAATATAAAACTGGAGATTATTTTTATAGCCTTTAATTAAAGTTATTATTGAGATATCAAAATACAAGTCGTATACTAGAGATTAGCATAAATATTTGATAATACTTTTTGTATGGACCAGCTTGTTGTATGTTTATATGTAAATTTCCATCTAAACAAAGAAGAAAAGAAATAGAAAAAGCAAAAATATCCAATGTGGTCGTTTCGTTCCCCCATGTCGATAAAATCACGGTGATCCCTCTTTCAAATTTTTTTCTCATACGATTTTACGTCTCCGTTATCCATGAAAGTTAAGCTCTTCCCATCTCCACCCCTTTTACTCTCGCATATTCGTATCTTCGACGTACGAGGAACAATTTCGAAGATAAGGAGCATAACTCTTCCTCTCTTTCTCTCTCTCTCTCTCTTTCTGTTTCAAAGTTGTTCGGATATTCTTGATCTTATATCGTTCGTTAGTAAATTTTTTTCAATCGTTTTCGTTTATAAAATCTAACAATTCTCATGATTTACATTTTAGGTTCAATATATCGATCTCAGAGATGTTTTTAACTTATATTTAAAATCATTCTTATACTTTATTTATTTTTTGAAATAAAAATATCAAATATATTCCGTATTTTCTATTAAATTGCAATGATTGTATTATTCTATATTGTATATCTATTGCATTATGCCGGATTGATTCATAAATATATGCCCCATTGAATTATAATAAATGTATTATTTATGACTCGATAGAATATACATTTATTCATTTAATATATTAATAAATAAATTTTAGTAAGTAATAAATCGATAGAATAAAGCACACTCGTTTTTTATAAATATATTTATTTATGAATCAATAATTATTATTAAAGGATATCAGTAAAAAATAATAGAATATTTAATTAAAAAAAATAAACACTAAAGTTTGATAGTAGAATTAAAATTGTATAGAAAATAGAGAGAGGAGAGAACTAAATAATTTAATAATCTTTCCTTCGCGTTAGATAAATTATAAAAGTACTTGTACATTAATCAACGAAAATTATTAACACTTTCCCTGCTATGTGTACCGTTCCCAGTACACGCGATGTTGTAATATATTACCATTCGCGTTTTTTTTGGCAATTTCCATTAAATATTCAATAACTGCAATGCGTGTAAGAGAAATAGGACGCGTACGTAACAATCATTTTTGCTTATAATGACAATAAATCATTAATAGACATGGCGGATCAAATGCCAATATATTTTAGTTCCATTAGAAAACCTTTTGAAATACTACAAAAAGTTACCTTTCGAAATTTTACTTAACGCTTACAAGCATTATAAAATGCGTCGGTGTTGTATAATGCAACGAACCGTACTTCAATTTTAATTTTGGAATACAGAAAAAACTGGGTCACACATGGTTACGTAATAACAATAACCATAACAATAACATAAACAATGCAAATTAATCGACATCTCATCTAATAGAAAATTACATGAATTAAAAAAAAGTGATGGTAATCCAGCAAACAAATATTGTTGCATTTATTGCTATAAAAAAAGATTTAACAAAATTATAAAAGTTAAAATTATACAAAACGCTACAAAAAGATTGACGACAATAATTAGAGATAATTGTTTTAACAAACCATCTAACACATATGTGTTTTCTTTGTTTCAATAAAATATAATAAAATTAAGAAAGAGATTGTATATCTTTGAAATTAAATAATTAATATGAAAATAATCTTTTTTCCATTAATGGGTTAGAGGAATAGAAATAATTGTGATATATTCTCGTTTAAACTACAGAGTGCTCCCTACTGTATGCGGAAGGATTCGAGTGAGAAGCTTAGCGGAAATGCGCAATTCGAGGGATACAGCGTCGACTTGATTTACGAGATATCGCGAATCCTTGGCTTCAATTATACCTTCAGACTGGTGCCGGATGGCCGTTACGGTTCGTACAATAAGCAGACCAAGGAATGGGATGGGATGATGAAGGAGCTTCTAGATCAAAAGGCCGACCTCGCGATCGCTGATTTAACCATCACTTACGATCGTGAACAGGCAGTAGATTTTACTATGCCTTTCATGAATTTAGGTTAGTTTGATTTATCATCACGTCATTCCTATTATTCTAACCATTGTAGAAAATTAACTAAAAGTTTCTTCTTTTCAAAACTCTCAATACATTTTTTTTTTTTTAATGGTCTTATTAATTATTTATCCGACATTTACGCGGTCGGTAATTGGCAAATTATTATTTATACCTAACAAAATATCTATTACCGACCGATAATTAATTTTACAATATATTATATGTTGATAAGCTAATTAAATATTCCTTTGTAAACATACACCATCAAAAATCATTTTCTTTATGCACACGCACGCTCGTATATTATTGTTAATTTTCAGGTATAAGCATATTGTATCGAAAACCGATAAAACAGCCACCAAATCTCTTCTCATTTCTAAGTCCATTAAGCCTCGACGTTTGGATCTACATGGCAACAGCTTACCTGGGGGTATCCGTTTTGCTGTTCATCCTTGCGAGGCAAGTAAAAATTTGGTGTTATCAAATAACGTGTATCAATAATTAATTAATTGAGAGAGAATGTGAGTGAGAGAGAAAGGGAGAAAGAGTAAAAGAGAAATAGAAAGGGAAAGAGAGAGAGAGAGAGAGAGAGAGAGAGGGAGAGCGAGAGAGAGAGAAAGAGAAGCATATATACACATATACATAAGAGTCTTTTTAACGAGACACCAATTAACATGACTTTAAATTGGACTTTAATTGGAATCATAAGAGTTTGTATACACACAAGAGCTTAGAAATTCACGTTTGAAGGAGTTTTTAACACGAAATGGTCTTCCTTTTTGGTCAACGACGAGTTTAAATGGTCGAAACTATTAGCATCATCTTCGTTGATGGTTGATGCATTTAGATTTACACCGTACGAGTGGTACAATCCTCATCCGTGCAACAAAAACCCGGATCATCTGGAGAATCGATTCAAGTTACTCAACTGCCTCTGGTTCACCATTGGATCGTTAATGCGGCAGGGTTGCGATATTCTGCCAAAGTAAGCTCTCTCATCACAGGTGTCTGTCTGTGTCTGTCTGTCTGTCTGTCTCCGTATGCATATCTGTGCGCGTACGAGTGTGTGTGTGTATATATGTGTACATATCTAATAATTTTCGTAATAATCAATTGCTTTTTCGTAGATTCTTCTGATTCTATTTATCTTTGATTTAATTATATTTTCTCCCCATCTATTTTTCTCTATTCGAAACGTATGAATTATTACGTACGAAATTAAATTAAACATTTAATTTTTATTGTTGATTTATTGTACAATAGAGAACGAAATAATTATGCATGCGTGTTGAGGATCGAAAAGTCGTTGAGAACAATCAGTCTCTCGTCTCCTTTTATCCAAAAAAAAAAAAGAAAAAAACGTTCCAATCGTTTCATTTACAAATTCTCTTCATTTCATTATTTCATTCGATTTCAGAGGAATTAGAATAAAATTTATAATATCTATCTATCTCTCTCTCTCTCCCTCTCTCTTTCTTTATTTTTTATTTGTATACTTTCGAACGTGATAGACAAAGATTTGGTTGTAAACCTTACTATTCTTTGTATTTTTTTATTTCCTCATTTCAACCCGAAAAAGTTTCCAAGAGTTTTTTGCCGCTGGCACGAGAATTTAGGGAACTTGATCAGATTTAAAAAAGTTTATCCACCTATGCGCGTTTTACGTGTGCCCGCGTGTTCAAAGTTGTTCCTTTTCTATCCGAACTTTTTCCTAAACTTCGTTCAAATTCATATCTTTGTCATCGTACATACGTGATGAAATCAATTACTCGTGAGGAAACCATGCGTCCCATCTTTTTCATTCTAAGTTTTTATTTTTGAAGAAAATCCAAAGTGAATAAGAGGACAAAAAAACAATGATATTAGTATAACGAACACGCACGCGCATGGCACAATATTAATTAACACAAATTTAAACAGCCAATATTTAATCCAAAATAAAATTTAAAGATTCAAATTTTTCTGTGGAACAAAAAAAAAACCAATCAGGATTATTGCAAATGATCGAGGACGCGCAAATAATTAAAAAAAAAAAAAAAAAAAAAAAAAAAA